AACAACACAACGCTAAAACAACACAACACTAAAACAACAACACAACACTAAAACAACACAACACTAAAACAACACAACACTAAAACAACACTAACACAACACTACAACAACACAACACTAAAACAACACAACACTAAAACAACAACACAACGCTACAACAACACAACGCTACAACAACACAACACTAAAACAACACTAACACAACACTAAAACAACACAACACTACAACAACATAACACGAAAACAACACAACACTACAACAACAACACAACACTAAAACAACACTAAAACAACAACACTAAAACAACAACACAACACTAAAACAACAACAACACAACACTAAAACAACACAACACTAACACAACACTACAACAACACAACACTAAAACAACAACACAACACTACAACACTAAAACAACACAACACTACAACAACACTAAAACAACAACACAACACTACAACAACACAACGCTACAACAACACAACACTAAAACAACACAACACTAAAACAACACAACACTAAAACAACAACACAACGCTACAACAACACAACGCTACAACAACACAACACTAAAACAACACAACACTAAAACAACGCAACACTAAAACAACACTAAAACAACACAACACTACAACAACACAACACTAAAACAACACAACACTACAACAACACTAAAACAACACAACACTAAAACAACACTAACACAACACTAAAACAACACAACACTACAACAACAACACAACACTAAAACAACAACACAACAATACAACAACACAACGCTAAAACAACACAACACTAAAACAACAACACAACACTGAAACAACACAAAACAACAACACAACACTAAAACAACACAACACTACAACAACACAACGCAACAACAACACAACACTAACACAACACTACAACAAAACAACACTAAAACAACAACACAACGCTACAACAACACAACACTAAAACAACACAACACTAAAACAACACAACGCTAAAACAACACAACACTAAAACAACAACACAACACTAAAACAACACAACACTACAACAACACAACACTACAACAACACAACACTACAACAACAACACAACACTAAAACAACACAACAACAACACAACACTAAAACAACACTAACACAACACTACAACAACACAACACTAAAACAACACAAACATGTTGTGAAATCAAACCAGGTCAAAATAATGAAAAAGTCCAGGACAAGACTGTGATTGTTCTGTTGTTTCTGTGATGGAGAGATGAGCGGAGGAGAGAGACCTCTGTGGCTGATCCATGTGTGTGTGTGTGTGTGTGTGTGTGTGTGTTCTGAGCAGGATATTATTCGGAGAAGAGCTCTGTGCTGTAGTTTCAGGATAAATCCAGGTAAACCTTTGGCATCTGCTGAGATGAAGCTCAGGAAGAGGCCAGAGGGGAAAACACAACTGGAGTTCACAGCACAACAACACACACAACCTGCGTTTATAACACATTATAACACACACTGTCACTCACGGACACAGCCAGGGCCGGATCTACCAGGAGGAGGCTCCTGGCTGGGGCCCCCAAGAATCCATCAAATACACCCTGTTTGTCACCCTGTGTTTTTGTTGAGTGTAATGATGAACAATAAAACATTCACTAAAGTTTTCTAAAACATGAATTAAAAATGCACTCTGACATCACCGGTGTCAGCCGCCGGGAGAGTTATTGCTTCTTGTGTTTGATTTCTCAACAACTTTGTTAAGTCTGAGACAACCACTGTTGTGGTTTAGATACAAAAATACAACATTTGTAATTGTATTTGTACAAAAATAAATGTGATTGAATGGAGTGAGGCCAGACAGAGCCTCGTGCTGCTCTGAACCTGTGACCAGATCAGAGTCAGAGATGTTTAGTTTTCTCTGTCAAACATACAGTCACATACATGTGTTAAACTCAGCTTGAGGTGAGATCCCGCGCACGTGACCCCAAAACTGGTCCCAAACAACATCAGAGTTGTCCACGGTCTGTGCTGTGGACACAAAGGTGGAGTAAAGGCGCCCCCTTGTGGCTGACCTGTGCACTTCAACTTGTACTTTTTCCCATCTTTCATAATGAGGTTAATTTTCTCTTTTTAATGTTTTAGATATTTTCAGAGTATAAACGTTATAGGTTCATGTTTTTATTCTTCTAAGTCTTATAGAATTTGCAGTATTGCAGTACTTTAAAGAACTTTCAGCATTTCAATTGATTTCAATTTGTCTGTGTGACTCATCGCATTAGTTTTGGTACTTCTACCTTTTGTAGTATTTGCAGTATTCACAGTACTAAAGTACTCATTCCTTTCTTTTATACTGGGACTTTTTAATTTCATGTTTTGAATGTTTTTCATCTTTTAAGTGTTTGTTCATGGTACAGCCACTGACCATGTCTAGTTTTGAAGACTCCCAAATCAATATATTTCAGGGGTGAGAAGTAGTTTTAATAAAAGTACTTTGACCACTTTAAATTGAGAACCCTTCGTTCATTGTTGTTGTGTTTACTGGATATTCGTCATTTTGATAAAGTGCTTCGTCGGTTTGTTTCTGTCCATGGTTTAGTGTTTGATTAGTCGCCTCTTTTCTTGTGCGTCTCTGCTTTTTAAAACACAATACTACACTTTTCAAATCAATGTCGGTTCTACTCGGTACTGAATCTGCGACGTCTGTTGTGCTGCTCTAACAGTGGTTTAACGACCTCGTGGGACAGAACTCCCCCAACATGTACTTTACCACAATTAGAATAAAGACATTAAGAGTATTTACTATAAATCCATTTGAGTAAAGATTGTATGTTGTATTTCTGCACAACCCAAGAGCATAAAGAAAAGGACAACACCAACATTTAAGGTAAAAGAAAGCACCATTAGCTTCCTCCAAACACATGAAATGCCAGCGCTATTCAACTCAAGTTATTTTATTATTGTCCTGAAGACTTTACAAAACACAGATCAGAAAATCAAACTGTTAAAACACAAGAAATGCAACGATAAAAACATTGGTATTGGTCCATAAATGTCATGGAGTAATAATGTCTACAGGCCTCGATCAGTTCCTTTAACCACAATCTTTAGATTTGTTTCTATTTTTTCATTTTTTTTACCAGCCAGTACAATATTTTTACTTGGTCAGAATGATAGTGTTAGTGTTTTAAACTCAAGCTATTTACAAATGTACACAATATTTTCAGGGTAATGGAAAAAGATAGTCCCACCTCCTGGACCAGAGTCACCAGGTCTTTATCTATTTTACGATTTAAGAACAACATGACTTCAGTTTTGTTTAGATTTAGGGAGAGTTTGTTTGTGTCCATTTAATGTTTCACTTTTCCTAATTCTTTCCTAAGGTCCGTTCTGGTAGTTTATGAGTAAACAGGCAACAACATAAAGCTGATTGATGTCACAGTGTGGAAAAACGGAGAACTCTTTGCTGAACAGTTGGTGTTCCTTCACCCTCCTCTTCACACGCTCCACGTGAGCGCTCAGCCTGGCGCTGGACTGACTCTGCTCCTTTAGGAAGGCAGGACTGTGGACCTTGCAGGGGACCAGGTCTTCCACACAGAAACCCTCGTGCACCATAATGGCCATGGAGGGCTTAAGCAGAGGCACCAGGCCTGACTGTTCCAGAATGTCCCGGTGACTGACGCAGCCTTCATAAAGAGGAGAGATGAATGTGATGGCGCCATGAGGAGCCATTCCGATCAGTCCCTTAAAGGTGCAGTGTGGTCTGTAGCTGGAGCACAGCTCACTCTGCAGCCAGAGGGACACAGGGGTTTGACAGCGCAGCTCTGTGCAGTCCAAGAGGACCTGTGTGTCGCTGTACTCGGAGAAAACCTCTGGCATGTGACGTCGTACGGCCTCCTCATCCAGCCAGATACCAATAGCTCCCAACACTTGATATAAAAAATTAGTCCAATTGGTGATAATGCGGCTCACGGTGGACTGGTGAATCAGAAATCCATCAGCCAGATCCTTCCGTGCCAGGTCCAAAGATAGATAACTCATAAAAACAAAAAACTCATCAATGGGTGAAAGCGATGAAAAAGTACAGCGAACATCCTGTCCAGACGTTTCTGTCTGACTGCTGGTCACACGCACCATGTGAGGCAAGGCTGGTTCTATCAGGCTCCAGAAAGACATCAGGTGGGCATAACTGGAAAAGCTGCAGGGCACAGAATCCTCAGTTAATAACATTTATTTATAGGACAATGTGCTGCAGACCAGAGCAGACATTTGGGACAGATGTCTTTCTCCTGTTTAAGAATCTTTGTTATTCCTAAACGTTCACATGGTTTAGTAGCAGGTTATTGAAGCTCCCAGAGGGTTAAAGTGACATCACAGTGTTGTTTATCCGTCTGAGAGAAGTTATACGTCAGTAAGATAAGATAAGATATGCTTTATTTATCTCACAAAAGGAGAAATTTACATGTCATATTTGGCATGGAGAGAAACACTCAGATTGTGCAAAGAAAGAAATGTGCAACAAGTTAAACGCAGGATATATTATGTACTATTAAAAAGTGTCACTTTAAGTGGCAATCAGAAATATTGTTCAGTTGTAACGTGCTTAACGAGGGGAATATGTTCCTGTCACAAACTGAGCTGCAGCTCTCAAATATTTTAGCAATCGAGTATTCTATTGAATCTATTGTGACCAGTCCTATTCCACCCAACGGACGGTCCACCTCTGCTGCTGTCGTATTTTCATACTACTGTTAGATAATTTTAGAAGTATCCGTCTATTTATTTGTATCGTTTGTTTGGATTAATGTGTTTCTGCTGCTACTGGACACCTGCATTTCTCCTAAGGGGATCAACAAAGTATTTATCACAAAAAAGGCTTAATTATAAATATACAATATCAAATGAAAAACCACTAAATAAAGATAGATCCATAGAATATACAGTGTTGTATACTTGTTTCTTTATTATGCTAAAGTTAGAGAAGCGGACTGTAATTGTAACCACAGTTGAGCCGCGTTTCCAGACCCATGGTTTCCACCACAGGAGTTCCTGGTAAACGGAGGGGGGGAGACTCGACCGTGACGTCACTCAGGTGGGTCAGTTTACAGTCTATGGTCACAATTCAAATCAACAACCTCAACAACGCGAGCTCCCCTTGAAATGTTTGTATATGACTGTTTTCCTTGGAAGAATATAGTTTACATGTAATACTAGTGGTGGTTATAACAATCGTTACATTTTGGAGATTTCAAAGCTTTATAGTTTACCTCGTGTGCAGCCGGATGTCTTCATCGGAGCCAGCAAAGCGTTCCAAACCGAACCTACACCTGATGCTCATGTCTTCGGTCTTTCTCTGGAGGTCCTGAGCTCGGGCCTGGGGCTCGGCGGCCGTGGAGAGGGCTGTATTCACAGCAGCTGGTTCGTAGTTAGTGAAGCAGTAGTCGTGGTCGTGGAGCAGGGATTCCAAACACCTGGTCGTGGAGCAGGGATTCCAAACACCTGGTCGTGGAGCAGGGATTCCAAACACCTGGTCGTGGAGCAGGGATTCCAAACACCTGGTCGTGGAGCAGGGAGGCTGTAGTCATTCCACTCAAAAAGGACTGGGACTGCACCTTTCCTCAACGTACGCCGTCCTTGGGGGTTGCTGGCCTGGATCACGTCTTCTGTCACAAAGTGTCGAGAACAGACCCGTTTGTTTGACGTAATGCGAAACTTTTCCCTTTTTATGTTCTCGACCCACTTTCTCTGCAGTGAAGCGTCTACAGGGAATGTGAAAAAACTCAAAGCAGAGTTAAATCTGGCCGACTGTAAACACCGTGGGACACAGCAGTAATAACCTGACGTACTGTCCTGTCTCCGCTGTAAAGTAAACGAGGAAAACTTCACCGCCATGTCACACTACAACAACCATACAACAACAACAGAAAGTGGTGGTCTTTGTATGCTCTGAGCTGCATCAGACTTCTCTAAAGAGCCCGCGGGTCCGCCATTACCGGAAGTGGCGACATGATCTGATGTTTCTAGCGGAAATACGTCACAGCGCGCACATTACTCTTCTCTGGTTGATTTCTTTCTTTTAGATCAGAATATGTGGCACTACGAATTTTTCATTATCTCGAAATAACAATTGCCACTTTTATTGTACATAATATAACCTGAACAGGCTATATTTTTGTCCTTTTGCACAATCTGAGTGATCCTATCTATGCCAAAGTGACATGTAATTTCTCCAGTGTGAGATGAATAAAGTCTGATCTTATTTGATGTAACGCTAAATGTTGTATATATATATATAAAATTAATAATAAAAAATACGGCAGTACCTGAAGAAAAGTTGCGTTTTTTGTGTTCTTAAATATGACATCCAGTTATTTTAAATGTTATTTTTAGCCTCGATGTCACTGAATGTTGAAAAATGATCGACCGTTGGATGTTTTTGTAAGCGGAACTTTGGTGCCGGGAAGTGTTTCAGGTCGGACTTGTTTATGTGAGCACCCTCCCGTACTGCACCAGAGGCTTTCTTGTTATGCTTTTGTTCGACATCAAGGATTACCGTCACTATCATCACATTAGGTTATTGTCATAAACCGAGTGAGTAACTGTATCTGTGCCGTGTTTAGACCCGTTTGTGTTTGTGTCGTTAAACATGTGTTAAATGTGTTAAACATGTGTTAAACTATGTGTTAAACTATGTGTTAAACTATGTGTTAAACTATGTGTTAAATCCACGAAGAAACATTTAACGTTGGTGGGGAGGATATTCTGTAAACACACCCTCGCTGTGTGAAGGAGAGGTTCCGCAGGTCTTTCCTTCCTGCTGCTGTCAGACTGTACAATGAGAACTGCTGAGTCTGCAAATGTCATTCATCTGTAAATAAGTACATTCTTAAATCATGTGTAATGTGCAAAACTGCAACTTCAGAATATCCACTGAACAATGTGACTTTACTTATCGTCCTGCTCTATATGTACAGTACATAACTCTGCATGTATATACTACATGTATATATTTTTGACTGGTATTGAAGCATTTCCAGCATCTACAGCCAGCTATGCTAGCTAAGAAACATAGCTACTACGTATTTTGTATATGTTGTGTGCTCCCTGTGTGCTCTTACTATCCTGTCTGTGCGCTGCAACATCGAAATGTCGCCACTGTAGGACGAATAAAGGAATTCATATCTTAATGTGCTGTTTCTTCTCATGTAGCTGACGATGGAGCCTGCCTGTCGTAAGGACAAGCCCAAGCTCAACACCACCCCCACCCGAGGGGACAGAGGCCGGCAGAAGACTGCCCAGCAGGAGCTCAAGCAGCGGCAGAGAGCGGAGGTGATGTCCAGACTCCATATTCAACTTGATTTATTTTCGTATGGCCCTAAATCAAAAAAAGTACTTATCTCCGAGGACTTTACAAAGTTGTTGATTCACCAACACAGATCAGAGAATCCAACAGTTCAAACACAGGAAATGCAGTAATAACAAACACATAGAACCAGAGGACTCGAGTCATGTGACTTGGACTCGAGTCAGACTCGAGTCATGATTTTGATGACTTTAGACTCGACTTGACCAAATATAAAAAGACTTGCAACTCGACTTGGACTTTAACATCAATGACTCTGACTTTCACTTGGACTTGCGCCAATTGACTTGTAAAGACTTGCGTAACCCGGGCCATTTTTACCTTTCTCCGCATCTCTCTTTCTATCTATGCCGTCTCTGAAGAAACAAAGCCTCGCGGTAGTTGTAGCGCTCGCGCGAGAGTTCAAACGTGAGTTCCAGGCAGTTCGCGCAGCAACACTTCCCTAAACAAGCGGACTGCATTCACCGGTGGGTGTGTTGTCTAGGGGAGCTGGAAATGAGCGAGCTGCAGGTATTTATCGCGACCTAACGTCATACTTTGTTCTACAAACCGTAATTGATATGCTTTCACTACAGGCGCCTCATACAATTGAATCGACGCAGTTGTCACACTCTGTGCCGTGTTTTAAAGAGGAACTGGTGAGTCAAACTAGCGCTAGCCTGCGCTGCTCTGTTGGCTCTTTCTTATATTTTTCTGTGTGCGCGCCGAGGCCTATTATTATGAGTATGTTTTTGCTGTGCTCCTCCTGCTAAAGTTTGCATACATTAGATAGTTGTTTTGATTATGTGCACTAAGCTAGATTAATATTTCCACTATTGTTTATGGTTCATTGATATGAGAATCAGTGCTTTGACTGATTGAATTAATTTATATGAGACATTTTATTATGTAATGATATATTGGTAATTATGAGATATTACTAATGCTGGCCCAGTTCATACAGGCCAGGTTCCTTCCCCTCCATTGGTCCCTTCAGTCCTTTGGAACAATAACCACTACGGACATTAAACTGATTATATAGATACAGGTCCTAGCCCAATACTCATTCATATATGCTGCACTTGCTACTTCCCATTAAAAACCCCAAAGATAAAAAGTATGTTGACACGGACTGCTCTGATTTTATGTGTGGTCTGTGCATGTGTAACTGAGCCTGCATCTGGCACAACATCCAATTAGATCACGTAGATAGTTTTGATTTACCAGCAGCCAACGACATGGAACAAACTGTTAGTCCATGGGTCAGAGACCAACGAGAATGCACCAGCAAAATGATTCCTAACATTATTTTGTTTGCCTACAAAAGTACGTGGAGACCAACAAGAAACAAATCGCGGTCAAAAAGACTCGAGAGGACTCGAAAGTCAAACCGTAGGACTTGGGACTGACTTGAGATTTGTTGGCCTTTGGCTTGGACTCGACTCGGGACTTGCCTGTCTTGACTCGTGACTTGACTCGGGACTTGAGGGCAATGAATTGAGACTGACTTGTGACTTGCTAAACAATGACTTTGTCCCACCTCTGCATAGAACCATCGATCTATTATAATAACTGGATAGGGTATTACTAGTTTATAGCTGAAGGACTCATATGCTTGGGGGATTCTCGCGGTACTGCAGACTGAACCAGACTAAATTCATGAGGGCTACCCAGAAATTTTCCCCATAGAACTCAAAATAAACTAAAACAGCTCGACCTCAGCTGACAGAGAACCTGACAGAGAACCTACAGCTTTCATAAAGGCTGGATTTTGTGTGGATTTTAGTGTCCCTTGTCATCCTGAAATTTTTTCTTCTTAAATCCTTTTGGTTTTCTTTAAATCTACACTTTACTGCCACAAACTCTGCCTGTCTGGCTCTGATCAGCAGCTCTGATTGGTCAGAGCGTGGCCGAGCCCCTCTGTGCACGTGCATGAGAGACACACGCGTATTTATGCGAGTTCATCCACTGCACAAAGTTTGTTTTGAGCAGTCCACTGCTCCTGTTAAACCACACTGTTACTGTGTGATAGCAGTCATATTGACTCCTGTGAAACCACACTGTTACTGTGTGATAGCAGTCATATTGACTCCTGTGAAACTACACTGTTACTGTGTGATAGCAGTCATATTGACTCCTGTGAAACCACACTGTTACTGTATGATAGCAGTCATATTGACTCCTGTGAAACTACACTGTTACTGTGTGATAGCAGTCATATTGACTCCTGTGAAACCACACTGTTACTGTATGATAGCAGTCATATTGACTCCTGTGAAACTACACTGTTACTGTAACCCAAATCTGACTTGCGCATGCGCAGAAACCCGACAGAATGGGGATAAAACTCGATCTAATTAAATATTTAGTTTGAACACACTGTTGTTCATCATATTGATTACAGTATGATACATGCATTAAATTAAATTTATTATTTCCATTATCAACCCGACAGACCAGTCACAGGACGCGTCATGGGCCTACGTCAGTAAAATGACGTATGGAGCAGTCAACTCAGGGACTGTAGCAGTGTAGTTTCACAGGAGTCAATATGACTGCTATCACACAGTAGCAGTGTAGTTTCACAGGAGTCAATATGACTGCTATCACACAGTAGCAGTGTAGTTTCACAGGAGTCAATATGACTGCTATCACACAGTAGCAGTGTAGTTTCACAGGAGTCAATATGACTGCTATCATACAGTAACAGTGTAGTTTCACAGGAGTCAATATGACTGCTATCACACAGTAGCAGTGTAGTTTCACAGGAGTCAATATGACTGCTATCATACAGTAACAGTGTAGTTTCACAGGAGTCAATATGACTGCTATCACACAGCAGCAGTGTAGTTTCACAGGAGTCAATATGACTGCTATCACACAGTAACAGTGTAGTTTCACAGGAGTCAATATGACTGCTATCACACAGTAACAGTGTAGTTTCACAGGAGTCAATATGACTGCTATCATAACAGTAACAGTGTAGTTTCACAGGAGTCAATATGACTGCTATCACACAGTAACAGTGTAGTTTCACAGGAGTCAATATGACTGCTATCACACAGTAACAGTGTAGTTTCACAGGAGTCAATATGACTGCTATCACACAGTAACAGTGTAGTTTCACAGGAGTCAATATGACTGCTATCACACAGTAACAGTGTAGTTTCACAGGAGTCAATATGACTGCTATCACACAGTAACAGTGTAGTTTCACAGGAGTCAATATGACTGCTATCATAACAGTAACAGTGTAGTTTCACAGGAGTCAATATGACTGCTATCATAACAGTAACAGTGTAGTTTCACAGGAGTCAATATGACTGCTATCACACAGTAACAGTGTGGTTTCACAGGAGTCAATATGACTGCTATCACACAGTAGCAGTGTAGTTTCACAGGAGTCAATATGACTGCTATCACACAGTAACAGTGTAGTTTCACAGGAGTCAATATGACTGCTATCACACAGTAACAGTGTAGTTTCACAGGAGTCAATATGACTGCTATCACACAGTAACAGTGTAGTTTCACAGGAGTCAATATGACTGCTATCACACAGTAACAGTGTAGTTTCACAGGAGTCAATATGACTGCTATCACACAGTAACAGTGTAGTTTCACAGGAGTCAATATGACTGCTATCATAACAGTAACAGTGTAGTTTCACAGGAGTCAATATGACTGCTATCATAACAGTAACAGTGTAGTTTCACAGGAGTCAATATGACTGCTATCACACAGTAACAGTGTAGTTTCACAGGAGTCAATATGACTGCTATCACACAGTAACAGTGTAGTTTCACAGGAGTCAATATGACTGCTATCACACAGTAACAGTGTAGTTTCACAGGAGTCAATATGACTGCTATCATAACAGTAACAGTGTAGTTTCACAGGAGTCAATATGACTGCTATCATAACAGTAACAGTGTAGTTTCACAGGAGTCAATATGACTGCTATCATAACAGTAACAGTGTAGTTTCACAGGAGTCAATATGACTGCTATCATAACAGTAACAGTGTAGTTTCACAGGAGTCAATATGACTGCTATCATACAGTAACAGTGTAGTTTCACAGGAGCAGTGGACTGCTCAAAACAAACTTTACACAAACCTCTTACTCTTAAAACACACATATGACAACACAGAACCATCAACATCTTGCCTCAAATTGTATTAAAAGTGACATTCATGTCTTAATTCGTTCGTATTTTAACTTTTAAAGCAATTCACGGACTTCATGTCCGCCATCTTGGTTTGATTCTGCTGCCGTGAGACGCGCAGCGCAGGTTTGCATTACATCATTAACATCTGAGGCAGATCATCTCGACGGGCAGACCAACTCCACAGAACACCGGCACAAAGCGCCACTGACCACAACCGTTCATTTGAATACTGCGCCATCTTGGATCGCCGGGACTTGCATAGACGCCATTAGTCCATGAGGAGAAGATGACCATTCAACTACATGGTATTGCATACATGGTATTGCATACATGGTATTCCATGTAGTTGAATGTGTTCGTGTCCTTATGAACCAACTTGGACTCTGAGGAGCACAGGGACTGGCCTCCTGCTCGTACCCATGGTCTCAGATGTGTGCAACTATAATCTTGAACAGTCTTCCTGAAAATGTGAGACAGGCTTTTTATTTTTTATTTTTTATTACCTTTATTAAAGACAACAAAACACAAAACAGACAGGTACATCATTCAACAAGAACAAACATACATGAAAGGATACAAATATATAACAATAATAACAACAGACAAACGTACACATTTAGACAAAGTGATAATTACACATAGACAAACAGATTATTTGATGCTAAATTAAGTGTGTGTGTGTGTACGTGTGTGTACGCTTTTTCTCTTAATGTTCAAATCAGGTTAAAAACAGTTCTGTTTAGCTTCAACAACTTCACTCTTTTTAATGATTTGTATGATTGTTTCTATCTTGTTTTGTTTGCACTTTAAGTTACCTTGTGTATGAAGTGTGCTGCATTCTGAATAATCTGGACTTGCCTGAAGTTCATTTTGACATATTTCGGACATGGACTTTCTATTGAAGAACTTTGACCTCTGAATATGGATTATTACCTGGATCATGCTCTGTTCCTCCTGTTCACAGATCTACGCCTTGAACAAAGTGATGACGGAGCTGGAGCAGCAGCAGTTCGAGGCCTTTTGTAAACAAATGCAGTCACAGGGAGAGTGAACGCACAATCTGAAATCTGTCCACAGAAGACGACTGCGTCACCTCAAACCAGGGGGGTCCAACTGGTTCCAGAGAGGGCCACTGAGGCTGAAGGTTTTCAAGGGGTGGGGCCACATTTCAATACTATTGCGATTGTTAAAATATTGTGGAAGAGCAAGTATTGGATTCTGTGATATATTGTGATTCATGTCCCTTTATATTATTCAAAAGCATTACTCAAAAAGAGGATGTCTTATTTATGATTCTCTGCACATTCACTAAAGTGCAAAAACATTATCCTTAAACATGCAGGACACAGGACCTCATTACTGGACCTCATTATTGACCTCACATGAATGGGGAGCTCCCAGCACACATCTTAAAGTATTCAAATACAATAGATTAGACTCGCAAAAAATATACCTAACAGATGGACATGGACCTCAGATGGACATGGACCTCAGATGGACATGGACCTCAGATGGACATGGACCTCAGATGGACATGGACCTGAGATGGACATGGACCTCAGATGAACATGGACCTCAGATGGACATGGACCTGAGATGGACATGAACCTCAGATGGACATGGACCTCAGATGGACATGAACCTCAGATGGACATGGACCTCAGATGGACGTGGACCTCAGATGGACATGGACCTCAGATGGACGTGGACCTCAGATGGACGTGGACCTCAGATGGACATGGACCTGAGATGGACATGGACCTCAGATGGACATGGACCTCAGATGGACATGGACCTCAGATGGACATGGACCTCAGATGAACATGGACCTCAGATGGACATGGACCTCAGATAGACATGGACCTCAGATGAACATGGACCTCAGATGGACATGGACCTCAGATGGACATGGACCTCAGATGGACATGGACCTCAGATAGACATTACCAGAGTAACTAAGCTGGAGCACAACCAGACTCAAGTCTCCGGTTAACTTATTGACTGCCATTGATATGTTTGCCTGAGACCCTCTATTCGGCCGGGTTATACTGGACAACAAAAATAGCTAGAAACAGACTTATTTTTGCTTATGAAAGTAGACAATCCAGTCTTTCAGAATCTGGTTTCATTTTTCACACAGTTTTAGCAAATATTATTCTGTGGGTCTTGAGAATCAGTGAACTCATCCAAAACGGCTGGACTCAGAGGAGGGCATGGGTGGAGTCTGGATGTGCTCCTGCTGGGTTGGAGTGAAAACCTGCAGCCACTGTGGTCCTTTGAGAACCGGTTTGACAGCCCGTCCTGCTCTGGAGTTCTTCTGTGTCACTACATCTGTCTCCATCAACGACCAAGAGAAGAAGAGATCCGTGTAATGTCCTGCACCTCCTTCAGCAGCACCTCCTCTCCGTCCTGTTTCTGATGTTTATTTTCATTATTTAAAATCACAACCTGAAAAAAGCTTGTTACTGTTCTTAGGAGAAACACTAACTCGAGAATCAAAGTGTTTTAGTTCCGTCCGTGCCTGTAAAGTGCTTTAAATAAAGTGAGTTTTTTATATGGTTTTTATTTGTCATTTTTCAAACACATTTAGTGTCTGTACAAAGAGAAAGTGCTAAAGCCACAAACATTTATGAACATATTATTACTCAGACATTTTTAACCCCTTAAGTGTTTCTAAATACATACATATCACAAGTATATATTTTAGATTAGCTCTCATGAATTAATAGCTAATTAAAGACCTTATGACGGGTTTAAAAAAAAAAAATAGTGGATATCAAAATTGCATGACAATGTCAATTTGAAAGAGATTCCGGCAAAAAAAATCCTATATTTTATAAAAAGAACGTGTTTTTCATGAATTTAAGTTGTCTATGCTCTAACCTGTGTGTGACGTCATAGCGGGTTACGCCCATGCATTGAAAACCGTGGATCTATGCCACAGGACTTTTCTCTCTTCTCTCCACTGATGCCCAACACAATACTGCCCTCTACAGGTGACAATTGCTCACTACACATAAATTGCCGTTTTGAGAGTGGACTATCTCAGTGCCAACGAAATGGGACATTCTAGTATTTATGTCAGACTCGCTGTACACGGCCTTGTCATCTTGAATATCCGCGAAAAAAGAACGAATACCAAATTGTAAACAACTTACAGCATTGAAACGTACCCGTTCTGACGTCACCAAGGGCTGTGAAGTTTTTTCGTTTCTAAGGGCGTTGCTATGGGGTTATTTCGATTTGGGGGGATCAGACAAAAAAAACAACACCTGATTTTGAAACCTTTAGTAGTTCTCTTCTAATATAAAATGGTATTAAAACTGTATTTCTAAATAAATCAAACCCGTCATAAGATCTTTAAGTGCTAATTAGAGCACCTTAAAGGCGCTATACCCGTTTCTGCAATGTTTGAATGTTTAGCACCGCCCCCCAACTCACTCAATGGCTTCTTATTTCCCCTACGCTCTCATAACACAGAGCCACCTAGTTTTATTTGCGATCTGATAAATATGCTAACATTAGCATTAGCGCAACTTCTTGTAAGCTGTGCAACAATCACCGATGAAATGGCACTAAAGCAACGCACTGCTAACACAATATATAAGTAATGAATACCGCTAGTTTTGCGTCCGAATGTATTAATTTAAAACCTTAGAATATATTCTAATATTGAATTATAATTTGTTATAGAGCTCCTCAAAGCAGCAGCAGCAATTCTTCCGATAATTTTTTCTTGATAACAGAACTCTCAAACCAATAATGACCGAAGCCCCAATGCAACCTCTGTTTGTAATTCAGGTGTGTAAAATACTGCCATTACTCCGCAAGTACAACAAGCTATCAGCACCTGTCACTATCACTCGTCTGTGTAGAGAAGCCAACGGAGCTAGCCACGCTCGATAAACAAATACATATCTATCAATCAACACCATTAAACGTCAATCGGACAATACAGTACACATATACATCCTTAACACACATGCACGGATGATTTCAGAATTTGCTGTTAACGTTTTCATAACAAAAATACTGTTTCAAAGTGACAAAAAGCGATTGCGAAAAACCCGGAAGTTACCACGAAACAGCTAGCTAGCTTAGCTGTTACCTGCCTAGCATGTCCCGGTGAAACCTTTGGGAGCTAACTATTTTATTTGCAGTCATTAAATACATTTCGAATTACAAGGGTTGTCTAATATTTGTTCACATTTTTTTATTCAATTATTTTGTTCATCATTTTTTATTTTAGAATTTATATTCGAATTTTGAAGTCGAAGCCCTGGTGTTAAGCAGCGCTGTAGGGGCTAGAGGACGCAGGCTGTTCACTGCTCGTTCTGTGAGCGGAGGAGAAAGAGCGGCCCGCTCAGACTCTACTCAGCACTTTTCACTGCTTGTAATTCTTACACAGCTGAATCAATTACCTCAAGTTTTCAATTAAATGATGTATTATGATACAACTTGTATGTAGTAAAAAGCATTTTTATGAACTACTTAGAAAAAAAATCGGGTATAGCTTCTTTAACCATAGCCCTAACCCACATGGTGTCAGTTAGAAGTGAAACTTCTAAAATAAAATTAATTTAGAATAATAAATAAGTGGTGGGAGTTTAAAAGAATATTAACTTCTTCCCACTCCCTTTCAAGATGAATTCATATGTTTGTATATTATCATTTATTGTTTTTTTTTCTATTCTTTTGTTCTTGTTTGCCATGGCTCGAAATAAATTATTCATTACACTGCAAAAAGTCAAAAATTGCTCAAATTTGGCAAAATGTGTCTTAATCTGAGCACATTCTGACTGAGCCTTAAAACAAGATTTGCAAATGAGACAAAGCAAAATGATTTAAAAAAAAAAATGTCTCTCGTTGAGAAAATAAAATGAAATAAGACTAAACATCTCGTCCAATTGGCAGATCTTGTTTTAAGGCAGATAGATTCTTTATTGATCCCGTAGATTCAGGTGTACAGTAGCAGCAAAACTAAAAAATAAAATTGATCATTCAAAGAAGCTAACAATAATAACAATCAGTGACAGCCTCAGGTCACAGCAGCAGAGGTGGAGTAGCCTCTGGGTGGAGCAGGACGGGTCACAGCAGCAGAGGTGGAGTAGCCTCAGGGTGGAGCAGGACGGGTCACAGCCGCAGAGGTGGAGTAGCCTCTGGGCAGTCAGAATGTGCTCAATTTAAGACACATTTAGCCGGGTATTTTTTTTAGCAATTTCTGACAAATTTTTCATCACTTTTTTGCAGTGTTGACACTAGTTAGCACTTAGATAACTTAGACTAAACTAAAGTGCACAAACTGTAGGAGTCCTTATAATATCTCTGTATAATATGTCTGAGCTCAGTCTGTGTTTAAATGTAACTGTACATAAGGCAAAGCTGGTGCGGCCCAAGTCCTAAAATCATAAACAACAGATTCCATGCTGGCGTTTTGTGTTAGTATTTAGCATTATATTTAGTTTTGCTCATGAGTCGATGGTAACGGAGCTGGAGGTGACTCTGACTCCAAACCAGCCGTCCCAGTAGCTCGTGTCCTGGCCTCCGTGTTCGAAGCAGATGAAGCGAAGCCCAGGTCCGTACTCTGTGAAGCTGTGGCTGATCTGAGGAACAACACAGAGAGATGTGTGACTGTGAGACACTAATACTGTCCGCACTGCAAAAACTGATGAGATAAGAGGTGATAACTGCTGGAATCAAGGGTTTTTTTTTTACCTTAACTGACTGCCAGCTGTTTCGGACAATTTCACTGATTTTCAAGACCCACAGAATATTGTGTGCTATGACTATGTGAAATATGAAACCAGATTCAGAAAGACTGGGCTGCTTACAGTCATCAGCAAAAATAAGTTTGTTTCTGGCTAGTTTTGTTCTTCTGTGATCCCAAGTCAAAAACAGGGTCAATGGCAGTTAATGAGTGAAGGTGAGTAGATTCTGCCTGTCTTCATATTGACCCGCCGCAGTGGTTATAGAAATACTCTAGTACCCTGTTTTTCCTGCTGAATTATTATGACTTTTCCTAACTTGACCAGCCCTGGATCATGTCGACCCTTTTAGATGCTAATTTAGGTGTTTTTTTTCTTCTACTTCGGGCAGCTGGTGTTGTTGTAAATGTAAAGTTAAAGGTGCACTTTATTAACCCCCGTAGGGCACTTTGCATTTGACCCAGATCCTGATGCCGCAAAGGCTTACGTCCGGAGCAGTGGTCGCCGTAGTAACAGCGACCAGGAACCCATCTCCAGATGTTGGAGATGGAGGATTTAACCTAGTGAGCAGGTTTTTAGTGGTAGGGGAAACCGGAGCACCTGGAGGAAACCTACGCAGGCACGGCGAGAACATGCAAACTCCACTCAGAAAGACCCTGTTACGACTGGGATTCGAACCCAGGACCTTCGGGAGTGTGATCCACTCAGTCACTGTGATATACAAAAAAGCTGACATTGACTGGCAGGATTTTCCAAAGAGATAAAGCCACTTAATCTTATTCCAAGGAAGACATTTCTTGTATATTTTCAAAACAAGATCATGTTGCTTTGTCCCGTTGGCAAATCCTGTTTTAAAGAAGCAATATGTAAAAATGTGGCCAAAAGTGGTACTGCAGCCTCTCCCACTCTCCCTGACTCAGGTTGCCAGATATGCAGACGAATCCAGCTGGGACCATAACAGCTGAATAGACAAGAGTTTTGTCAACAACAAATCTATAACCAACACCTTTTTCCACAAAGATAGAAATCCTGGTTTTATTTCTTGTTTTGTCGTTAATGATTTGAGAATCATAACGAGACCTTTTTTAGTTCTGCGCCACATGGTACTTTACCAGTGAGATTAGCTCCACACGGTGAGTTCTGGCGCCCGGATCACGGACTTTCTGATTGGTGAAACGGTGGAGGGCGGGACATCGAAATGAAAACAATAACAAGATTTAGAGGCTGGAAAAGTAATTTAGAAATTCAAATATCTCTGAACTACTGTTATCAGTTAAAGAAGTATTGGAAAAGAGCAGATTTTATTAATGCCTTTGGGCCCTTTAAGGATGACTTGACATGAAAATCTTACATATTTCTACTTTAAGGCTCAGTAAGAATGTGCTCAAATTCAAATTTTAGTTATTTTTGTCTCATTTTCCTGACTTCCTTCAGTGTTTATACCTCTCTCCAGGAGCTTATACCTCTCTCTAGGAGCTTTTACCTCTCTCCAGGAGCTTGTACCTCTCTCCAGGAGCTTATACCTCTCTCCAGGAGCTTATACCTCTCTCCAGGAGCTTATACCTCTCTCCAGGAGCTTATATCTCTCTCCGGGAGCTTACACCTCTCTCCAGGAGCTTATACCTCTCTCCGGGAGCTTATACCTCTCTCCAGGAGCTTATACCTCTCTCCAGGAGCTTATATCTCTCTCCAGGAGCTTATACCTCTCTCCATGAGCTTATACCTCTCTCCAGGAGCTTATACCTCTCTCCAGGAGCTTATACCTCTCTCCGGGAGCTTATACCTCTCTCCGGGAGCTTATACCTCTCTCCAGGAGCTTATATCTCTCTCCAGGAGCTTATACCTCTCTCCAGGAGCTTATATCTCTCTCCAGGAGCTTATACCTCTCTCCAGGAGCTTATACCTCTCTCCGGGAGCTTATACCTCTCTCCAGGAGCTTATATCTCTCTCCAGGAGCTTATACATCTCTCCAGGAGCTTATACCTCTCTCCAGGAGCTTATACCTCTTTCCATGAGCTTATACCTCTCTCCAGGAGCTTATATCTCTCTCCAGGAGCTTATATCTCTCTCCAGGAGCTTATACCTCTCTCCAGGAGCTTATACCGGCAGTAGCTCAGTTGGTAGAGCATTGGCCTTTGAGCCAGAAGGTCGTGGGTTCAAGCCCCGCTCAAGACTTTCACGATCGGCTCCCACTGACTACTGTCGTTGTGTCCTTGGCAAGACACTTAACCTCTGGGAACACCAGCCACAGTGGGGCGGCTGCGGCTGTAAAGTGCCAAACTGCCGTTGTGTCCTTAGGCAAGACACTTCACCCCCATTGCCTAGAATGAGTCTGGTGTGTGTGTGAATGGTTGGTGGTGGTCGGAGGGGCCGATGGCACATACTGGTTGCCTCGCTTCTGTCAGTGTGCCCCAGGGCAGCTGTGGCTACAGTAGTAGCTTATCACCACCGTGTATGGAGTGAATGAATAATGACACATGTGAAGCGTCTTTGAGTGTCCAAAAAAGCGCTATATAAAATCGATGCATTATTATTATTATTATTACCTCTCTCCAGGAGCTTATACCTCTCTCCAGGAGCTTATACCTCTCTCCAGGAGCTTATATCTCTCTCCAGGAGCTTATACCTCTCTCCAGGAGCTTATACCTCTCTCCAGGAGCTTCCGTCACTTTCCGGCTCCAGAGTCACAGTCTCTGGTTTAAACTCAGCGATGGACTCCTGGTTTTCATCCAGTAAAGTCACGGTGATCTGGTAAGTGGAGCCGCAGTCCGTCCGCCCACAAAACCTGCGTAGGATGAACACAAAACAATGCAAAATAAATTACCCTTTCGGCGCCAAAGTAGCAGATTTGTCTAAACCCAGAACACTTTATATACAGTGACTTGTCTTTTCATATATTTCTAACCACATTTTTGTGCATAAGGTTCTTCTGTGTGTTATTTTATTGATATAAAGTAGTCCACGATCTCTTACTAAGTTACAGGGTGTCACCAATGGATGGATGGACTTAAATGCTGGAGTTAAAAGTCCTCTGTGTCATTTTTACAGTTTCACCAAATGAAGAAAAAAAAGTTTACCAAAAACAAATGTGACCTTTTTAAGAATATTTACCTCCACCATGTTTTTAAATTGTTGTCGCAGGTTTAGATTTTCCCCGATGGGGGCGGATCCCGGCTCAAAATGTCTTGCGCTGACATACTGCAATACCACCCCGGGCCGATATTAGAAAATAACTTTTGAAAAAGTTAAACACCTATAAAAATATTAATGATAGTGTAGGGTGACTACTTATATTAGCTGATTATAATTACTTATTAGTATGAATTTGGTAGTGTGGAGCGGCTAGTCTCCGGAGCGGAAGCTCGCCGTTCCACCAACAGGTCTATGTTATTTATTTTGGGCACCAGCAGAGTTAGAAATCTGCACATAGACACCAACCAAATCTTTGCCTCGATATCAATCTATAATCTAAGGGTGTAGAATACGTTTTATCGGCCAGGGATATTCCGAGATCTAACAACGCGACTCTGGAGGGGTTGAGTTAAAGAAAAGTATTTTATTGATTACAAAAATGAGGGTAAAAATATAACGAAAAGGGATTTCTGGTCACATTAAAAGCAGGAGTTGTACACATATCATTCAAATCATACATTTAACAGAGGAACAGTCTTACTTTGAAGGAGCGTAGAGGATGGAGAAAGGATTTGGGTTGGGGATCAGTCCACGTGGTTCCTTTGTCTGGGCAGGCGGGAGGTACAAAGCCAGTGAGTTGGTCCAGCTGCTGGTCCACGCGTATGCAGCTCAGTCCGGAATGGGTTGCACGCGTATAGTCCAGAGCCAAGGAAAGAGGCTGGTGATGAAATGGTTCGTAAGGTCCCGAGCCAGAGGAGAGTATGTTTGGCGGAGTAGAAGGCCCGATGCGTGCTGGCGCGACCGTAGTAGGAGACACGTGCCGCGGGACGCCGATGGCCAGGGAGGTTGCGATAGTGATTTCAGGAGAAGGCAAGAGAAAGAACAATGCTTTGCGGGTGCTTATATTGACTTCTGAAGGGGCGTGTCCATGTCTTCCCTCTCTGTGGACAAACTCCTTTACACAGACAGTTTGTGAAGAAACATACAGGATTGATGCAAATGATCATAAGACATGTACAAACACACAGTGTATTTACATCACAGACATTAAACACACGAGTAAGGTCCGTAACGTTAATATCATTGAGTAATGTCCCCTTTGAATGTTCGTCTTGGGTGCGGTAGCGTCCAGTGTCCGCTAGGGAGCGTCAGAGGGCCGCGGGTGGACCCCTTGGTCCGTGGAATGCATTGTGACAATGCTGATTTGTATCAGCTCCTCTGTTAACATGAAAAAGGGCACCAGATGGGTATCCCGCTGTTTTTATGGGTCCGATTGGCGTCGGTAATCCTCATGATTGATGGCGGCTTGTGGCTGACCCCATGGCTCCTTTGAAGCTGTATCTCTCCATTTGGTCAATGGTAAACAGAGTGGACAGGCTTGGTCCTGCCCTCAGTTTAACCTTACATACCCCCCCCACGGCAGAGATGCACCTTCCGACAAGGTGCATGTCATGTCGGATATGCTGTGGGGTTGTCTTCAGTCGGTCTTCTCGCCTGTTCGGGTGTTAGTGTACAACTTGTAGTGACATGTTACAACATTCCCGTCTCAATGTGACTCAGTAGCTCGCAAGCGCCTAACTGGGGCAGGCTCGTAGCGGTTGGGTCTCGGGCCTCTGGCTTGGTTTGTCGAGGCCGGGTTTTCTCTAAGGCGAGTCCTGGCCCTGCAGGCTAGTTCTAACCGGAATCAGGGGTTTTAGGGAGTGAGCTCCGGCCGTGAACTCTAAGGTTTGGGCCGGTGCGCCTGACTCCTGGGTCTCTTGGTCTGGAAGACTCAAAGTTCCAAGCCAAGAGAGTAGCAGGAGTTTCTACTTTAGGGGACTAGGATACAAAATAGGAAACTTCAAAAATCAAAAAAAAAAGTGGCTGCCTTGGCAGCGGGTAGGAGCGTCGTTAAGGCACTCGATGGTGAGGGGTTCCCATCTTGCTCGTTCTAAAAGGGGAGTGTGAGGGTTACACGAATATATGACGTAGCGAGGGGGGCTTTAATTACGAGGGACATTTCCTGCATATAAATGGGGATGACAGGCATGATTGTCTAGGAGACTGATTAGGTATCGAGGTAGGTTGGTTGGGTCTGAGCTGGTGACTCTTAGTGGTGTTTTAGGCCCTTGGTTCACCTTCCGTGATAGAAAGGGTGACCGCCTCGAGTGGGTGACTTTGGAGGTCCTTGTACTCTGACTCATTGACCTGGGGACGCCGACTCAAATTGCCACGCTCGACGGCGCTGTCGCCCCGGTTTGGTCGTCTACGGATCTGTCTCGTCATTGCCTCCGTGCACCTGTTAAAGCTATCGCGGAGTCGTCTAACCCGTCTATTTAGGACGAAGGCCATGACTACGACCAGGCCGTACCCGAGTCCTACCGCGATGGCCATGACTGTATCGGGGGCGGCCCAGGAGTAGGCTACTGGTTGGTGGTGGATGGTCGGTCGCTTGGCAATCTCTTGAAGGAGATTGTCTACGACCGTAACGTCAACGGTTTGTGCCCCCTCGTAGGTGGCTTGGACTAGGGTAGAGGGTTGAAGTTCCAAGGCCCTTTCCTCAAAGAACTCTGGTATCTCGACCTCTGCCTCGTACTGGTTCGGATACAGGTGGTATAATGCCAGGTCGCCTACGTGCAGGATAGCGTCGGCTGGGACGTCGACCCAAAAGGTTTCGTCCGGGAGGCTTACTCGGGACGAGGTGTCGTGTTTGTCATAGGTCAGGGTCGCCGTTCTAAGGGGAGTGTTCACTAGCCAGCGTGCCCCTACAATCTCTGCTCTAGTTTCGGTTATTTGTTTCCGAGAGGTGACCGTCGCGGGGCATCGACTCCCTGGAGTCATGGGCCTCAGGCCGCAGATGCCATCGGTGCTGTCCCTGACGAAAGGTTTGCTGGGGCAGAGGTAATGGATGTCCTTGGTGAGGGTACACATCCTTAGGTTTGGCGTTAGGTATAAATTGGGGTTACTGTCGTGGTAGGCTACTATGTCTGGGGTCTGGACTCTGACGTGGGCATTGTCCCTCCAAGTCCCTAGGTTAGTGATCCCTTTTAGTCGGTAGATTTTGTCGCCGGGAACTATCGGTAGGGTGACTAGAAAGGCTACCTCGCGGTCCAGAGGATTAACATAGATGGGGACTGCAGCGCCCAGCGTGTACGCTAAGTGGGCTTGCATGGGGGTTACGGCGTCCCGTGTGGCTACGGCTAGAATGTTCTCAACTAACGATAGCGGCACGAGGTATGGCGGGATACGGCCCATGGCTAGGTTTTCGATCGAGGAACTGAGGTGACGTAGCATGTCCTCCATCAGTTGGGTGGTCAGCTGAGTATGGGCGTAGTCTAGTTGGAGGACGTCTAAGAGTTGGTTGACCGCAGCGGAGGTGCGTTTAATCGCAACCTCGTGTGTGTTAAGTACTAGCATGGTTCCTTTTAGGGATTTTCCCAAGGTTACCACGTCGTTCTGTTGTTGGTCAAGTCTGGTTTTGACATCCTCGAGCTCAGAGGCCATTTCTTGTTGGTGGCGTCTGAGGGAGGATAGGCTGATGGCGTTTACCGTGGACATCCCTAAACTAAAGAGGGTGCCCAGGGCGGACGCCGCGCCGAGGAGAGCCCCAATAAATCGTTTGGGTCTGGGGCGGGGGTCACTGAGCTCTGTCCTAGTGATCGTGAACTTCTCTAGTTGCGTCAGCATGTGTTGTATGTCTGCCTCAGCATGCTCCACGACCGTCTGGGTCCAGCGTGCACCTGCCCAATCTTTGAGTGTGACCTTCAAGGGCAGGTTCTTGCGGCAGACTTCACTAGGATTGAGTCTGACAAAGATTCGCTGTGTGTGGGGTCGGACGTCCGTGATGAGGAGCCCGGGTTGTTCCTTTAAAACGATCCCGGAGGCTGGTCCGGTCTCAATAATTTCTGGGGTGCCGAGGCCCAGTATGCAGGTCAGCACGAGAAGGAAAGTGGACCACATGTTCTCAAGGCGTGAAACAACTGTTAGGGGTTAGACAGGGACAGAGAAAGAGAGAGTCGATTAGTGCAGCCGAGAAGAGTGTTAGTGGGTGCTGGACTAATCGTGTTTGAGGTCACGTGGTGTGTTCCTAACTGGGGTTTGCGGTGTGCCCTGCTTGTCCCATGGGGCTTTGTTTGTGTGGTTTGGTTTGGCTGTAACGGGCCCATCTGAGGGTGGGCTCTCTACCTTTTGTGACCTTGATTTGGTGCACTGCGGTTGAGAGTTTGTTTCCCACCCTGTATGGTCTTGACCAGCGGGGTAGCGATTTCCGGCGTAGTCTGGTGGGGCCGGTCCCCGCGTGTCCTGGGGAGTGTGCCAAGGTGTAATACCATACCTGGTTTTTGACCTGGGGGTGGTCCTGCGGGTCGGTCCTGTATTGGTTTGTCCTCAGGCGCCGGGGGAGTTTCACGTTCTCGTCACTCCGGTTTGGGGATACGTACCTTAGTATTTCGGTCGCCGTTCGGTCCGTTGTTTCTACCTGTTGTAGTGCCTGACGTGTGTTGTTTATACCTGTTTGTTTCGCGGTAGGTGCGTCATGGGCGTGTGCCAACATTACCCCCCTCATGCTTCGAGGCACCACGAGTACCAACGAAGTGAGTGTATCGGAAGCAGAATCTAACAGCCCATGGCGTATCGGCATTATTTCTTCATCACGGCCGGGGGTTCCGAGCGTCGTGTCGATCGTGACGTCGAAGGGGCGTTCTAGTGTGGGGTTGTCGTGTCGGAGGGAGGCTAAGTCCGACCTGTCGAGGTCGGGGGCCGTCCCCCCCCAGTCCGGGTAATCCCGTTGGCCTAGGGTTAAGTCCTGGCGTGGTCAGGGGGGTTGCCGTGGGGTTGTCCTCCATGTTTGGGGAGGTCCCCGGCGTTCCCATCGCGGGTCACTGGCCATTGTGTCGCAGCATATGCGGACGGCCCAGACTTGGGGCACCGTAAGTCGTGTGGTCCATGTAGCATGTTCAGATGTGGGCCAGGGGGGTCGTTGTAGGTTTGTCCGCTATGTTGAGGGCGGGCCTTTTCGTCCCAATGGCTGCAGTCTGAAACATGTCTCGTATGGACGTCAGGTGGGCCAGGGTCATGGGTCGGATAGTCATGTTGTCTGTGTCGCATGTCCATGTGTGTTCCCGGAGGGGCGTCGTGGGGGTCGCAGTGGTCGACGTGTCCAATGTTGGGTTGTGTATTGTTCCTATGACCTTGATTTTGGTCCTTTCCCGTCATGATACTTACCAGTTCGGCCACGCTCCTGCGTTCACAGTTGGACGATGGTTCGCCGCGGTCGGCGCGAGGGGAGTGTGGGCCGGAGGTAGTGTCACGGCCGGTTCCGTTCGAAATAGCGGTCCTGATTTCCGCTGCGCGATCAAGATCCATGGTCGCGCTTGGAGTCATGCTCAGTCCCTGTTGGTGGTCCCTACTTACCTGTTGGATTTGTTGTAAGCGGGTCGCGGCGGATTTCCTAGTTTCCGCCAGTTGTCGTTCCAGGTCACTCACTGTGTTTTGGAGCCTTGCTTTCTGGGCTTCGGAGTCGCGCAAGGTTATCCTGGAGATTATGGCCAGTCGTCCTAGCCACTGGGTTAGGGTTTTACCTTGGAGTTTCGTCGTAGTAGCTTCGGATGCTAATATGGAGGTAGCATCTTGTAAGTCAGAGAGTGAGCTGTGCTCAAGCGTGTCGTAGCCCCCTGGGAATAACTTCTCTGTGAGGTCTCGCAGAAAGTTATCCACTATGCCGTGTCCTTCTGAGACACCGTCGTGCCTGCTCGGTCGTGGCGAGTTTCCGCCATCGATTTCCATATTTGTGTGGGTGAGTGTATGCGAGTATGACTTGGAACGTGTGTGTACGACACGGTGGGAGGAGGGAAAGGAGGAAAGCAGTGCTATAGAGAGGGTAGTTTAGCTGTTGGTCGTGTGGTGGTGTAGACCTTGGTGTGTGTCAAAACCGTGAGTACAGCGTCCTCTCCGTGTGGCGGTGTATGCGAGTAGGCGGCCTAGGGCAGGGGCCGGGCGTTAGTACTTCTTCACCTGTGTGTCAGCGGAGAGCGTTGGGGTTAGTGGCGTCGGCGCACGTAGGGGGACGCGGCGTTAGAGACGCAGCGTGACGGACGCGGCGTAAGACGCAGCGTGACGGACGCGGCTTAAGACGCAGCGTGACGGACGCGGCTTAAGACGCAGCGCGACGGGCGCGGCTTAAGACGCAGCGTTAGAGACGCAGCGTGACGGACGCGGCGTAAGACGCAGCGCGATGGGCGCGGCTTAAGACGCGGTTTAAGACGCAGCGTTAGAGACGCAGCGTGACGGGCACGGCTTAAGACGCAGCGTGATGG